TATATATATATATATATATATATATATATAATAGCGAAATAAAATAAAATACTTACCAGGTGATCTTGCATCACCCCATCTACCATTAGGAAAGTTATCCCAATCTTCAGATCTACCTAAATAATCTCCACTTTGCTCTTTCCATATAACAGGTTTAACATTTGAAAGTGACCCATCATCTTCCTAGTATTTAAATAAATAATAATATGGTTTGTTTAATAAAATAGTTCATTTGTCATTTCATTACCAAGATGGTTTATTTACCTGTCTTATAATATCATTCGTTGCAAATCCTACGTTTGGCCTATATTTCTTGCCAAGATTATTAATTTTTTCTTCATCTGTTTCAATAAATTTTAATCTTTCTAAAATCAACTTGATAGATTTCTCCAAATTCATTGTACACAACTGAAATCCTAATATCTTGTGCTCTTTATATAATTTATTTATAATTGATATTGCAAGATTAACTCCATAATCTTTAACTGCCTGATCATCATGCTGAATATATTATATTAATTATATCATTAATAAAATAAATACATTAGAGATCAAATGATGTGTCATAATCTTTTTTCTACCTTTATAGGTTCTAAATCATTTAATATTTGAGGGGGGATATATATTTTACAAAGATTTGTAATTCTTCTAAAACTATGATAACCTTGAATTGGCATTATACAAGGAATAATTGGTACAGATATCCCTAAAGTTTTAAAATCGTAAATTAACATTTTTTCTTAAAAAATAACATTCCTAGATAAGTTTTTTAAAAAGTTGCTTTACCAATCTTTCGACAATTTTTTTCCCAATTTATAAATAAATCTACATCATAAAATAATTGTGAAATGATAAAATCTGCACCTGCATCCACTTTTTCTTTTAGATATAAAAGATCTTGACCCTTATTATTAGATTCAGGATAGCCTTCAGGATAACCTTAATTATCAAGCAACAGTAAATCATTAACAATCAACTGATCTATTGATATATTGTTTTATTGATTTATTGATTAATGAAATTATTGATTAATGAATTTACCTGCCACCCCAATACAAAAATAATCACCATATTCTTTTTTTATAAATCTAACCAAATCAATTGCATATTGAAATTCTTCATCAGTAGTTGTCCAATACTCTTGTCCACGTGGTGGATCTTTTAAAAAAAAAAGAAAATTATAATTTCGATAACTAAAATTAATAAAGATAATTCATTCATTAAATTTTGCAGCATGACAAGATTTTCAAATAATATATTTATTTTTA